AAATATTGATGAAGGTTAAGAATTTTGCGTTTTATTTAAAATTTCCCGAAAACTTTTCGGTCACAATGTATAACTATTAATGCAAACCAGATGGTTGAATTTTAATTTCAAATAAATATATCATAGACCACATGTTAGCAAAATATGTTTATAAATAAATGTGTAAGTACTTCTCATATAAGAACTTGTATAAATTTTGAATCGATCTAAGTGAAACCACATATCTATTGAAAGTTATTGCTTTTTCTTAGATTATATGAAAGTTTAGGTAATTTTATGTTTTAAGAACATAAAATTTTGTTTTTGTTTCAAATATATACGATGCATCTTTTTTATTGTATTGTAGACTTCTTATTGTAGCCTACTTTCTTGAACTTATATACTTCCAGAATTTATTAATATTTTTTCTGTGTTAGGGTTCTAAAAGTACCAGGTCTTTTTTTATGGTGTCATCAGAAGACCAAATTAGTTATATTTAAATACATATTATTAGTTACGAATATTTTTATGAATATTAATGTAAAATAAGATTTGACCTTCGTTTATGAAACGGAATGCCTCCTGTTGAGTTAGGCTCTATAAGTACAGGATATCCTCCAAAGTGTTTCAATGGAGATATAAATTATTGTTGTTTTTTTTCTTGCCGAGAATGAAGCGTCTTCATGACAAAAAAAAACTATTTGACAGTTAGACGGATTTGAATAGCAAAGAAAAGACAAGGACAAATATTTTATATAACTTATTGAAATTTGGCTGATCTTACAAGGCTGTTTCGAGTATTGCCAAATACTTATCATCAGTGGTTTTAGGAAATATTTGAATTTCTTAATTAGTTTATACTCCGTATATAATTTGTTTGCATTGCAAGTGCCAGGCTTAGAACTCGTGCCTGTCAGAAATTTGTAGATTTACCACAAATTAAATAATAAAATAACTTTTTAATAAAATAACTGCATTGCTATGTGGTACTGTACGATTCTGATGACTGATTCTCAAAACTTTTTAAGCAGCTGCTAAACTATGTACTTAATAAATGTTCTTATTAATGTTTTTGTTATAATTGTTGTTTTCATTATAATTGTTATTATTATTACCTTTCATGAGTAATAAGGTTGGGATAACCTAACTCATACTTTCAACAAGACAATCATTTTTTTTTATCAAGAACATTGTTGCTATATTAAATATTATTCCTCTGAAAAGATAATACGTCGGTAGAAGAGTGTTGTCACTCTTGCATAAATTCTTGGACCCAAAAAATATAAAAAATATCCACTACCAACTATATTATTGAGTATCAACAGCTTCAATTGTTTGTCTGTTGTAATTTTAAACAATTTCAGAACATTTAATTCCGAAATTGTCTACATATTGCCATCTCAATACTTTACACGGTTAGGGTCTAGTAAATCTTTCATTAGTGCAAGGAGCAAGAATAATTGTAAGGCCTTAAGTTAATGAGAAGTTTTATTTTTGAATAGTTTTATTGATATTAAATAATAAATAATTCTTTTGTCACACAAAAGTAGGTAACAATCTGCAACCATTATATATTAATAACATAGCATATTATCCAGTATAATATTTTTAATATATTACTATATAATATCATATATTGTACCTATAGTGTAGTATTATATTATAGTTTTGCATTAGCGCAATTAAGATTTTTAAATACGTTGATTTAATGCCAGATTTTATAAGAATCAGCTCTTTTGAACAACGTTTCCTATCACGCTATACTTCGATATAGTTTACTTCTTGAGATGTCGACCTTTAAAGTAGTTAACTTTTAGATTGATTACGCTAGTAAGAACTAGTACGAACTAAAAGGGCAACAACAAATAGACTTGTTGTTGGTTGATTCCACGTACATTTTTTCCACTTTAGAGAACGATATCTCTAAAAGGTATGTGCCGGGAAATCAGAATCTTGTCACTATATTATTCTAAATATATTCATTTATTATTTATTATTTGATTATGAAATAAAAGTTCTTCACTTCTTGGGATACTAATTAAGGAAACTTTGATACACAAACTAAAAAAAAATTTTATTTTTTATAATTATTTTATGAAATAACAGATGTAATGAATACATCACTTAATTTACATTATAAATTTATTAAAATTTAATTCTGTGAATGTAAGTCAATTAGTTTTATATATGCACCATTTAGCAGAATTAACATTATTATTAAATATTATGCGTATTATTCAAATAAGATTAATCATTGAAACATATTATTTTTAGAGTACATTTTTTTATTATTTATTATATCAATACCTTATCCATATACTCGTGGTGTTGGTAAAATAACAGCTTTAAATTATTTTATTTATTTTGCTGTGATTACTTGAACACCTTGTTTTATTTAAATAAAAACAAACTTACGAATGTTATTAATATTTCTGTTTTCAGTAAGGTGAACTAATTTGACTAATAAAACAAAATTCATATATATATTCTAAAAGTCCTCAAATTTATTTGAGGACTTTCTAATATATTCTAATATAGAATCGAGATCTTTTACCAAGTTTTCAAAAAGGAAAGTTCATATTTTTGGCAAGCAAATCATGTGTCAAATCACTTCGCTTATTACTGTTACGATTATTATTGAATTCTATAAAATATATTTCAAATAATAAATTTTATTAAATATTTAAAAAGCCAAATTTTTTTCTCCGCCCAATAATTATGTATTTAATACCAAAAAAAAAAACAAAAAACACCAAATAAAATGAAAATATTTTTTGATTTAAAAAAGTTCGCAAATATTTATAAGATTTGTGTAAAATTGTTTAATATTTAAAAGATAGGAAAATAACCATATTGAATATATAACAGAATTGATTAAAATATCAATGTTGTGAAATAATATTAAATGAAATTTTTTCTATCAATTTTCATTAAATTTTAAAATTTTATTTACAAATTTCCTTTCGCAACAAAAAAGTTTTGTAAGTGTTTTTTACACAACATTTTATGCGATTGTCATGACAGCAAATGATTAAAAAAACTTAAATAAAATTTTCACTTAATTAAAAATGCTAACTGCAAATGTTTTTTATTTCTAATTTTCATTTTAATTTTATTTCAAATTTATTGCTTATAAAAGATAGTTGTATATTTGTTTAGAGTTTTGGAAATTTCTCTACTGAAACAGCTTAGCCGGTACACTACACTTTACCGCCTCTACTGCCTAAACGGGGTTTATGGGCTTTTGCGAAAGTGACATTCACAGCAACATCCACAGTGACATCCACAGCGACATCCACAGCGACGGCGATGAAATGCGGCTCTAGGTAAGCTAATCTCGCAACTTAAGATAAATTTAACAATTGTTTGCAAATCATCAGAATTAGAATTGTAATTACATTTATTTTTATTTTTTTTTTTTTTCAACAGAAACAACAACATTGACTTTTATTGAGCTTTATTTCTGTTATTTTTTTAGATTTTTTTTAATTTTTTATATTTTATGTGGCAGAACGAATTGAAATACATTTTCATGTTGTTGACTGCACAATTTTAGCAACAGTCACAATTCAGCCACAGGCCGGAATGTTGACGTTTTTATCTAAACGGGCGATGTGCGCTTAGCGTTTTGTTTGCTCCACGAGTGAAATTTAGTTCGAAACCAGTATTGAAGACACAATATAAAGCAATAATAATAAACAAAATTTACGAGAGTATCGTTCGGAATTAAATAATAAAATTAAAATTTATTTACCATAAACAAAATTAAAATTTTTCAAATTTTTGACAATCAACAATCGGGTTTGTTAAATAAATTTTTTTTTGTTTTATAAGAAAATCATTGCAAAATGCCAACTACTTGCCAATTCTATCTGAACCGTGCGGTGCCGATTTACTACAGTGGAGAGCAAATTAGTGGTAAAGTTTTTCTAACAACCACAAAAAAATTAAACCTAAAAGGTAAATGTAAATATTGAAATGAACTTGTGTATCTTTCCAAACAAAACAAAAACAAAATAAGGTATAAAAAAATATTTAGTTTCATTAAGCTAATTGCTGATAATAAAGGTGTTGCATTGATATACTGTTGCTGTTAAGCACTTAATGATATATGTTAAATATAATATAATAAATGCTTTTACGATGCTTTACTGATTAGATATATCACATAGGTACTATAAGTGCATTTATATTGAAATTGTGGTAACGAATATACACATACCTATATTTCAAAAGAGTGCGTTATTATCAGCAAAAAATATAATGCACAACACATATAAAATAATAAAATCCTTTTAGGATTTTAATTATAGTTATCTTATGATTATTCTTACATTTTAATAAAAAATGAATTTAATTTCTTATAAAGTATATTTTTTTTATAAAGCTGTTTCGAATGCCGCCAAGCCAAATATATAAAAATGATTCAAATTGAAAAAGGTTAAATTTCTAATACATACAGTCCAAATATATATCGACAATCAAACCAATATATAATTCCAAAAATTCTTTCAGTATTGTTAAGGTTGGAATATTTTATCTTAAAATAATTGTTACATTTAAACAAAAATGAAATTATTTCCAAATTAAGTGAATTCATGGATTGTCCATTAAATTGTTTCGGATGCC